GCTGAAAGCCGCTCAGCGCTTAGTTTTGAGAGACAAGGGCTGACACCCACAGGCCGTTTGTCACCTCGCTGAGCACCTCCACGCTGGCTCCGGGCGTGGCTGTCGCCTTGCTCTGTGGGTGGAGCTCGCTGGCAGATGGCAGCCAGGGGGGAGGGGAGTGGGGGGGGGCTGTGTGAGGCTCCAGGCTCCTGTGCTCCAACCCCTGTGCCAGCCCAAGAGGCAGCTGGTGGTGCCCGGGACAGGCAGTGCCCGGGGGAAGACGGAGCCGTGTGCACTGCAGGCAGACACGGCGGGATGCAGCTCACTGGGAAGGACATCTCCTGTCTCCCTTGTGGTTGGCCTGGAAAGTTCTAGAGCCGTGGTTGGCACACTCATTAGTCCACAGAGCCAAATACCAATAGGACAACCATGGAAATTTCTTTGGAGAGCCACACGTTTTAAACTTAAACTCCTTCTAACGCCACTTCTTCAAAACAGACTTGCCCAGGACGTGGTTGTTTGTGGAAGAGCCACAGTCAAGGGGCCAAAGAGCTGCATGTGGCTCCCGAGCCGCAGTTTGCCCACCACGGTTCTAGAGAACCCTGTTGGTTCACAGCACCGAGCTCCCTCTGGGCCATGGGCGGGGCCGGCAATGGCATCATCTGTTATTTCCCGAGGCCCTGGGCGGCCAGCAGGCCGAGGAGCATGCCGAGCGGCGGTCTCAGTGTCCTGCCGAGGCTGCTGCGTGTTTGCTTTGGACGCTCCTTGGTGTCCTGCGGGGCTGGACGGGCGAGCGGGTGGCTGGCTCCGTGCCGGCCTGTGCTCCTGGCCGGGAGGTGCTGAGTGTCCTTGTCAGCTGCTCTCGGAGACGCTGCCCGCGGCCTGGCTCCCACCCTCCTCCCGGGCCCTCCTGGGTGCCCGAGGCCGAGGGGAGCAGCGGCCGGGAGCCCGGGGGCCAGGTGGCTCTCTCCCGGGGCTGCTTTCTCTCCAGCTCAGACTCCTGCCGCTCTGCCCAACAGCCACGCCCGCCCAAGCCGTGTCCACCCGTGTCTGCCGGTGACCCGCCCATGACCGTCTGGGGCAGGACGAGGGCTGGGAGTCAGAGCTTAGAAGTCTCACAGCTCTACACGGGTCACTTCTGCATGACGGGCAGGTCAACATCGGTTCAATCTGGCCATGGAATAAGGCATGTGCGTTGCCCGCCTGTTTTTATTCTTTTATTTTTATTTATTTTAAATATAGTTTTATTGGTTTCAGAGAGGAAGGGAGAGGGAGAGAGAGAGAGAGAGAGAAGCATCCATGATGAGAGGATAATGGATCGGCTGCCTCCTGCACGCCCCACACTAGGAATGGAGCCCGCAACCCAGGCCTGTGGCCTGACCGGGAATCGAACCCTGACCTCCTGGTTCCTAGGTCGACGCTCAACCGCCAAGCCAAACTGGCCAGACCGCCTGCCTGTTTTTCATGGATCGTTTCTATCCGCTGTGCTGTCCTGTGTAACTGTATCAGCCCTCGGGGACCAAAACCAGAACCGAATCGATTGGCAAACACCCCCCCGGACGCCGGCTCCCCACAGCTGGTCTGCGCACTGCTCTGTGGGCTCGGCGGCAAGCGGCTGTCTTCTAGCCCTCGTCCCGTCCCTGGCCTTTGAGGAAGTTTTCTGACACCGAGGTACTATGCACCCTGAATGAAGCCGTAAATGGGAAATAATGTTTGAGAGAGGAAGGTATATTAGACCTGTGGTCGGCAAAGCCAAAACTCATTAGTCAGCAGAGCCTAGTATCAATAGGACAACGATGGAAATTTCTTTGGAGAGCCACATTTTTGAAACTTAAACTATACAGGTAGGCTCATTGTTATTAACGTAATTGGGGGACTCCTAAGCTGGCCTTTGCTAAAAACTCAAGGGGCCAAAGAGCCGTGTGTGGCTCTCGAGCCGCAGTTTGCCGACCACGGCAGTAGAGGATGTAAAACTGTGGCTTCCATATGGCAGGAACACCGCAGGCAATGGCCTGAGAGATACGGCGAGATGTTTGCCATTTGCGTTGGAAAACACTTTCCCCAGAGTTATCTCTGATAGACGGAGGCTCTTACAGGTCAACCAGAGAGGCCAGAGTAAGACATGGGCGTGATGGTGAGCAAATCGCTGTGAGCGTGAATGAGACAATCATTTGGTTAGATTTCCTTATCAGGAACCCAGCATATAAACACACAATCTTGGTGATCACAGCCCAAAAAATAGGGCATGATCCACGTCTTTGTGAGTCTTGCTGAGTACACGCTGACGCCCTAGAGCACAGCCTGGTGAGTGCTGACCATCAGCCCACACGCCCACGTCCCTGCCCGAGGCCAATGCCCTCAGGCAGGTCGTTGGTGTATTACCACAGTCCTAGAGGCTGCCCGGCCTGGCTCAGACACGCGCTAACAGGAAGGCGTGGATGCTTAAGGAGCAACCTGGGCCGTGCTCATAGACGACCCACGTGCGGTAACTGCGGACCCCTCCTGGAGACCGGCCCGGGAAGGCTGACGGTTCTATTCCCCGTCTGAGGTCCTTTGGATCCAGAAAGCCAAAGCTCACCTGGGCCTCTCCCGCCTGGGGCATTGTTTGGAGCTTTCCTCAGCGAGTACTTCCTAAATATATTTACTCAGGAGGCAGGCCCGGCGTGCCGCCTGGAGGGGTGGTGTGTGCACAGCTCATGGCCCAGCGTCAGAGCTGTAAGCTGGGGGTGAGCACGTGTGTGTGCATAGGTGTGCACTTGTGTGTGTGTGTGTGTGTGTGTGTGTGTGAGAGCTGGCTGTGGATATTAAACTCGGGCTCTGTAGCTCATACACATCTCACCCTAAACACCTCTGGTCAGATGGGCTGGGATGGTCTCGGGCATCCGCAGAGGGAAGCCTTTGACTTCATCCTGTAAATTCTAGTAGCAGACGAAGGATTGGTCAACACCCCCTGGTCCCGCTTAGCTAAGGTGAGCAGACATTCCGCTTTTGGCGGGACAGTCCCGATTTTTAACAATTTTGAAAAAATCGGGACTTTTTTAAAACGCTGTGGGACATGGGACAAATTGTTAAAAATCGGGACTGTCCCGCCAAAAGCGGGATGTCTGGTCACCTTACGCTTAACAAACCGCTGATGACCAGTCCACACAAATAAAAGCAGGTCGGCCCTGGCCGGTGGCTCAGTGGGCAGAGCACTGGCCCATGGACTGAAGGGCTGGGGTTGGGTTCTGGCCAAGGGCACGCCCCTCGGTTGTAGGCTTGCTCCTGGCCCAGGTCGGGGCATGTGCGGGAGGCAACCAACCCGTAGGTCTCTCTCACATCGATATGTCTCTGTGTCTCCAGCCCTTCCTTCCAACTCTCTAAAATTCCACGGGGAAAAATATCCTTGGGTGAGGATTAACGAATAAACCAACACGAAGCAGCTCTCTTTATGTAGGCAGCGCCTGCGTGTCTTGGACTCTGACATGCTATCAGTGTGATTTGTGCCATTACTCTATAGGTCATTAAGGAAGAAAAAAAATTCTTTTAAAAAATATATATTCTTGCCAGGACCGGTGTGGCTCAGTGGATAGAGCGTCGGCCTGCGGACTGAAAGGTCCTGGGTTCGATTCTGGTCAGGGGAATGTGCCTTGGTTGCGGGCACATCCCCAGTGGGGGGCAAGAAGCAGCTGGTTGATGTTTCTCTCTCATCGACGTTTCTAACTCTCTGTCCCTCTCAATTCCTCTCTGTGTAAAATCAATAAAATATATATAAAAATAAATAAATAAAAAGATGCTCTAGGGAAAAAATATATATTAAAAAATATATATATATTCTTATTGATTTCAGAGAAGAAGGGTGAGGGAGAGAGAGATAGAAGCATCAATGATGAGAGAGAATCATGGATCAGCTGCCTCCTGCACGCCCCCTACTGGGGATCCAGCCTGCAACCCAGGCCTGAGCCCTGACCAGAAATTGGACCCAGGACCCTTCAGTCTACAGACTGATGCTCTATCCACTGAGCCACACCAGCCAGGGCTCCCCTCTCCTCTTTAACCTTTTCTGCCCCACAGACGTGGCTGAGCAGGATGCTAAGAGGCTGCTCTCCCCACCAGACGCTGTGGCCGGGCGGGCGGGCGTGGAGCCCCTGCTTCCCGGGGGCCGTGTTTTCCCTCCCTCGCCTGCCTCTCGCTGGGCCGGATTCCCGCCGCCGGCTCGCTGTTTCCCTGGGCCGGCTGCCCCGCTCGGTGGTTTTCCTGCGGCTCGGGGGGTGCCAGGCGGTGAGGGGAGGGCTTGATGGGCTGGCCCGGCCAGGCGGGCGGTGATGGACGAGCTGATAAGCTTTTCCAGAGTGAGCAGCGGGGCCGGGGCCGGGGCCGGGGCCGGTGGGGTCTTACCCTCCCCTCCCGCTCCTGCACTGCCCGGCTGCAACGCCACGGCTTTCCAGAAGCCCAGCGCCGTCCCTGACAAACCCAGACGTGTGTGCGGCGTGAGCTGCCCCAGAGAGGCACCAGAGGGGCGGGCGGGCGGGGAAGGAGGGTCTTTAAAAACTTCCCCTGCAGGCGTTCCGCCGAGTGAGAGGCACAGCGTCGCCTTCTCCTCCCGGCCCGGCCGCCCCCGGGGGAGCCGCCGCGTGCCTTCCTCCCGGGGGGAGCGCCGGCCGTCCTGTGCGAGGAGCCGGCCGGGCCCCTCGGCCGTCCTTGAGCCCCGGAGACGGAAGTGCGCGGGGTTTCGCTCCTCATGCAAAACAACCGTCTAAACATAATAGATGACATCAGCGTGGGCTTTTCAATTCCTGGATGGCAGCGTGACGGGGCCGGGCCGCATCCTGGGCTTGCAGACCGCGGCAGCGGAGCCTGGCAGGACAGAGCGGGCGGCGCTGCCTGAGGGACCTGCCGGGGGCCGGGCAGCCGGTGCCATCCACCCGCACGTGGGCAGGGGCTGGGCTCAGCTCCCCTGGTGCCAGCCCGAGCCCCCGAGGAGGAGGAGGAGGAGGAGGAGGAGGAGGAGGAGGAGGAGCAGGGGGAGCAGGGGGAGCAGGGGGAGCAGGGGAGCCAGCCGAGGGAAGCATGCGGGCCTGGCTGCTGCTGCTGGCCTGGCTGCTGGCCCCCGCGCCGCCGGCCCCCGCGGCCCCCGCCTGGAGCCGGGGCGGCCGGTACGCGGTGGACTGCCCGCAGCGCTGCGAGGCCCCGTGCGCCAGCGGCCGGCGCTGCCCCCGGACGGTGCCGGACGACTGCGGCTGCTGCCGGGTCTGCGCGGCGGAGCGCGGGCACACCTGCTACCGCACCGTGGTGGGCATGGACGGCGCCAAGTGCGGCCCGGGGCTGCGGTGCCAGCTCCTCAGCGCGGAGGACGCCTTCGGGGACGAGTACGGGGTCTGCAGAGGTGAGGGGCCTGACGCCTTCGGGGACGAGTACGGGGTCTGCAGAGGTGAGGGGGGCCTGACGCCTTTGGGGACGAGTACGGGGTCTGCAGAGGTGAGGGGGGCCTGACGCCTTCGGGGACGAGTACGGGGTCTGCAGAGGTGAGGGGGGCCTGACGCCTTCGGGGACGAGTACGGGGTCTGCAGAGGTGAGGGGGGCCTGACGCCTTCGGGGACGAGTACGGGGTCTGCAGAGGTGAGGGGGGCCTGACGCCTTCGGGGACGAGTACGGGGTCTGCAGAGGTGAGGGGGGCCTGATGCCTTCGGGGACGAGTACGGGGTTCGGGGACGAGAACGGGGTCTGCAGAGGTGAGGGGGGCCTGACGCCTTCGGGGACGAGTACGGGGTCTGCAGAGGTGAGGGGGGCCTGACGCCTTCGGGGACGAGTACGGGGTCTGCAGAGGTGAGGGGCCTGACGCCTTCAGGGATGAGTACGGGGTCTGCAGAGGTGAGGGGCCTGATGCCTTCGGGGACGAGTACGGGGTTCGGGGACGAGTACGGGGCCTGCAGAGGTGAGGGGGGCCTGATGCCTTCGGGGACGAGTACGGGGTCTGCAGAGGTGAGGGGCCTGACGCCTTCAGGGATGAGTACGGGGTCTGCAGAGGTGAGGGGGCCGGTCCTCCCTGCCGGGGCCAGGTGGGAGCCGGCTGGGACGGGGCCTCTCCGCCTGGGGACCAGCGGGGACAGGTGGGCGAGGGACGGGCCAGCAGGGGCGTCACAGGAGAGGGAGGCTCGTCTGCGGGAGATCTTTAAAGCTGCAGCGAAGACGGTGCTGCCTCCTTTGCCGGGACTTTCGGGAGCCGCAGAGAACCCCGCTGGGCGCTGGGCACTGGGTGCTGGGTGCCCGCTCTCCTGCCAGCAGTGCCGTCGGCTGGCGCCCAGGGGAGCTGAGCCGAGCCGGTGACCTCCGGGAGGGCTGCCTGGCCCCGGTCAGGGCTTCTGTGATTCTGAGAGGTCCCGGTCGGAGGGCATTTCTCAGGATCAGTGTTTCCGAGGAGCCCGATGGCTCTGTGAGCCGGGCTTCCTCCCGACAGCTCAGCTCTCCTCGGGGCCGGGGGCCGGGAGGCGGGGAGCAGACCCTCCTCCTGGTTAGGGTTCGGTTGTCTAGGAGAGCAGGCCGTGTGACAGAAGCAGAGATAACCCTGAGAAAGGGGCGTGGGCTTCTGAGGGATGAGGCGGGGGTCGCACAGACGAACAGGAGGTGGGCTAGGTTACGGTGATGCTGAGGGACGGGCTGAGCATCTGGAGAATTCTCCTAAACACCCCGATGACGGTTAACATGTCTGAGACGCTGAGTCCAGGAGGAAGGACCTGCGGGTCCCAGGCTGTTACCGGCCAGAGCTGCTGTCACTGAGAGGCCGGATGCCGTGGCCGGCGTCAGCGGGACAGCACAGGGAGCTTTAGTGCCTGAGGGCCGGGAGGCGCCGGAGACGCTGGCCTGGCGTGCATTCCGCACATCTGTGTGCTTCTGTGACGCAGCCAGAGCTCAGGTGCCAGTCCTCTTGTAGACGAACGAGTCACCTTTTCACCCTCAGCACACGCTGCCGGTTAGGAACGTGCTGGGCTGTCGGGTGTATTGGGGCGCAGTTTGGCGAAAGGCAGACTGGTGGACACGCTTTTCTTCGGGGAATGTCCGCACACGTTTCTCTCAGCCGCACGGGGTCTGGGTTCCCCGAGAACCACGGGGCTTCTCGGCCAGGACAGTCCCCGCCGTAGGGAGCTCGGGGCGGGGGAGAGGGGGGAGAGGGGGAGGACAGCGGGAGGCAGACGGCCTTGCTTCTGTCCCGGCACAGCCTCCCGGGGACGCGGGGTGAACGGGCCTCCCCCGGGCAGTGGCTCAGGCACATGGGCCGGGCACCGGGCCTCAGCACGCGCTGTGTCCCCGCGTGACCCAGCCGCTGTGGCCGCGGTGCGTGTAAGAGACATTTAGGACGGCTCTTTGGCATCACCTGTGTGGCTGGTGTCTTTCCCTCTGCCGGGAGCCGGGAGCCGGGAGGCCCCCAAGCCCAGAGCGGAGCCCGTGCCTTGTGCTGCAGGCGCCTCCCCCTTGCCCCCCTCACCTCCTGGGGATGAACGCGCCTGAACATCCGTGTACTCGGCGCTGGGTGGCCAGGTAACCGTCAGCGGCCGACACTGTCTGCTGAGCACCCAGTCCCTCTGCCCGGACACCCAGACGGGAACGGGCTGTGGCTCCGGTTTCAGTTACAGCGCTTCCCCGGGAGGGTCTCAGGGGCCCCAGGAGGGCTCCCCGCGGCCGGGCGGCAGCAGGGTTCCGGCCGGGACACAGGCAGGCGCCCGCCGCTGCCCCCCGAGCCGTCCTAATGCCCAGCGGCTGGGTCACGCGGGGACACAGCGCGTGCTGAGCCACTGCCCGGGAGGCCCGTTCACCCCGCGTCCAGGGCGGCTGTGCCGGGACAGAAGCAGACGCCGTCTGCCCCCTGATCTCCCACAGATGCCCCTGAGGACCAACCGGGCTGGGGAGCGGCCGTCACCACGGGCGCCTCGACCGGTCTCCGGGTGGCTGTGCGCCGGCCAGGCCTCCTCACGCCCGGAGACGGTCTCTGCCTGTCACACGTGGCTGTGAGGCCCATCCGAGCCACACGCCTTCCCCTGGGAACGTGCCCCTCTCCGCAGCCGGTAGCTTCCGCTGAGGGTGCAGCCCGGCTCTGAGCGCTCTCCGGCTCGGCAGGTGTGAGGAGGTGCTCTGCCTGTAGGCCCGGGAGCCGCCCTCAGCTCGCAGGGCTGTCCTGGGGTCGCCTGGCCGGGGGTGAGGTCCGTCTGGCCTGTGGACAGGGCGGGGTGACGGCTGAGCTCCTCCCGAGCGGACGGCCCTCGGCCCCGGCTGCTCAGAGCCCTCCCTGGGCGTTGAAAACGAACCGTCTGTGCACACAGGGTTCTAGCACCCTCTACACAGCCGCTCAGCTGCCCCACGGAGCGGCCACAGGCCAACGGGCCAACTGCCCACGGCTCCGAGGGGCAGGACCAGGCTGGCCCACGGCTCCGAGGGGACAGAACCAGGCCAACCTGCCCACGGCTCCGAGGGTCCAGGACCAGGCTGTCCCACGGCTCCGAGGGTCCAGGACCAGGCCAACCTGCCCACGGCTCTGAGGGGCCAGGACCAGGCCAACCTGTCCACGGCTCCGAGGGGACAGGACCAGGCCAACCTGCCCACGGCTCTGAGGGGCCAGGACCAGGCTGGCCCACGGCTCCGAGGGGACAGGACCAGGCTGGCCCACGGCTCCGAGGGGACAGGACCAGGCTGGCCCACAGCTCCGAGGGGACAGGACCAGGCCAACCTGCCCACGGCTCCGAGGGGACAGGACCAGGCTGGCCCACGGCTCCGAGGGGACAGGACCAGGCTGGCCCACAGCTCCGAGGGGACAGGACCAGGCCAACCTGCCCACGGCTCCGAGGGGGACAGGACCAGGCTGGCCCACGGCTCCGAGGGGGCAGGACCGGGCCAACCTGCCCACAGTACCGGCTCTGGGCGGTGTCCCTGGCTCAGCTCCATGCAGTCTGTGGTTTCACGTTTGTTTATGGGCATGTTTACTGGGGTGGCAGCCTATACAATAAAGAGGTAATATACAAATTGACTGGCACACCCTCACAAGATGGCTGCCTACAACCAGACCAGCAGAGGGTTAGTGAGGGATGACCAAATGACTGAACAAACAGGCTGTGTGGGGCAACCAGGCTTGGGGGGGGCTGTGAGGGGCGACCACGCCAGCAGGGGGGGGGGAAGTTGGGGTGACCAGGCCAGCAGGGGGGCCAGTTGGGGGTGACCAGGCTGGCAGGGGAGGAAGTTAGGAGTGACCAGCCAGACAGGCAGGTGAGCAATTAGGAGCCAGCAGTACAGGATTGTCATAGGATTTCAGACTTCCCCTGAGGGGTCCCGAACTGGAGAGGGTGCAGGCCGGGCTGAGGGCCCTCCCCCCACCCCCGCATGAATTCTATGCCCTGGGCCTCTATCTGGTTAACAAAAGGATATGGTTTTCGGGGTACAGTTCTATTCTGTTAACAAGAGTATACAGCTCTATTTGGTTGACAATAGCACATAGTTTTGGGGTACAGTTCTGTAACCCATCGTCTGCACATCACGGTGTGTGCTCACTACCCTATGTCTAACCCCCTCCCCTCACCACTGGCCCCGCACCCGGCCCCCGGCCCTCGGCCCATTCCTCTGCCAGCGGCTGTCTGTGGCTCTCCCTCCGCTCTCTCCCCGGCCCAGCGCCCTCCCCACAGCGTCAGTCTGCTCTGCGTCTGCGTCTCTGTGTCCGGGTCTGCTGTGCTGGGCTGTTTATTTTGTTCATTAGCGCCGCCGTTTGTGACTTAACGTTGTCTGCTTGTGGAGAACGGGGTGTCACCTGACAGCCCGGTTCCGGGGGGGCTCGGCTCCCAGGCTGTGCTCCAGGCTGGACGGGGTGCGGAGCCCCTAACCCGCCCTCTGCCCGCAGACTGCCCCTTCGGCACCTTCGGCATGGACTGCAGGGAGACGTGCCGCTGTCCGCTGGGCGTGTGCGACCGGGTCACCGGGAGGTGCCTGCAGCTCCCCTTCCTCCAGCACGCAGCCCCCGGGGCCGCCGACAGGGGCGCTCCCCACGCAGGTGAGCGGGGCGGGGGACACGGGGGGGACACGGGGGGGACACGGGGGGGGGTGGACATGGGGGGGACACGGGGGGAGACACGGGGTGGGACACGGGGGGAGACACGGGGTGGGACACGGGGGGGGTGGACATGGGGGGACACGGGGGGGGACACGGGGGGAGACACGGGGTGGGACACGGGGGGGGTGGACATGGGGGGACACGGGGGGGGACACGGGGGGAGACACGGGGTGGGACACGGGGGGGGTGGACATGGGGGGACACGGGGGGGACACGGGGGGGGACACGGGGGGAGACACGGGGTGGGACACGGGGGGGGTGGACATGGGGGGACACGGGGGGGACACGGGGGGGGGTGGACATGGGGGGGGACACGGGGGGGACACGGGGGGGTGGACACAGGCGGGGCAGCTCATTCTCCGTGCGGGCCTGACGGTGGGTTCCTGGGGTCCGGGTTCGGGGGGGGGAAGAGGGGGGAAGTGGTGGTGTTCAGTTGGGTTGCTGCTGCTGCTGTTTTTTAAAAAAGATTTTATCAATAACTTAGACCAGTGGTGGGCAAACTCCTTAGCCAACAGAGCCAAACAGAGTCAACAGCATGATTGACATTTCTTCGGAGAGCCACATTTTTTAAACTCAAACTTCTTCTAACGCCACTTCTTCCAAATAGACTCGCCCAGGCCGTGGTGTTTTGTGGAAGAGCCACACTCAGGGGGCCAAAGAGCCGCCTGTGGCTCGAGAGCCGCGGTTTGCCGCCAAAACACAGCCCAACACACACCTGTAATAAAAAGAAAGCCAGCGAAGGCCTGCGAGGTTCTGTAACCAGAGTTTCCTCGCTCTAGTTGGCCACGGGGCCGGCCACGAAGGCTCCGGTGCCTCAGGAGCTCAGGGCAGAGACGGCCCCCGACCGCTGTGGCCGGGCCCGGAGCCCGCAGGCAGCTGTGCGTGTCCACGTGGGCTTTCCCGGTTCACAGGCTGCGGCTCCCGGGAGGGTTTGGGCCCCGGTCCTGCCCGGGCTCCAGTCCCCTCTGCAGACGGAGGGCTCCCAGGCCATCGCACGGGCCTCCGAGGGCCGCCCCCCATTCCACCAGGTCAGCGCCTCAGCCTCCTACCTGCTGGGCACAACACTCTTGGCAAGTGAACTTCCTGGCTTCCTCCCTCCCTCTCTCTCTCTCTCTCTCTCTCTCTCTCTCTCTCTCTCTCTCTCTCTCTCTCTCTCTCTTTCCCCTGAGCTTTCCTGCTTTCCAAGACTGGACACTCACAAGCAGCAGTTGGGGGGGGGGGGGCGGCGGCGTCTGAGCTGGTGCGTGGCTCACCCTGGCGCCTCTCGGAAGCAGGGAGGAGCGTTCTCAGTGCGACACACATTCCCCGCGGAGAGCCAGCCTGTCTTACAGACTCCGCCCTCTCGTCCGCCTGGAGCCCCTCCTCCTGCAGGCCGGGCGGCGAGCACCTCGCTTAGCGCGCTGTCCTCACAGCACTTGCTCGTCACGTGCACATTTATTAAGCACCAACTGTGTGCCAGGCACTGGTGTGGCCACAGCAGAACACAGCCCTGGCCTCGGCTCCGAGAGCCTGGTGGTGGAGGGAGGGGACCTGTCACCCAGGAAAAAGGAGAAACGCTGCCATGGGCAGTGCATGTGGGGGATGGTGTGTGTGTGGGGGTGACAGGTGGGAAGAGAAGCCGCTCATGCTGCCCCCTGGAGGGGGCGGTGAGCATACATCGTGTACACAACCAGCCGGACTGCATGTGACCCCGGAGGCCTCACGGCTGGTCCCGGTCTTTTCTCCCGTTTCAGAGCCCGATGCGGGGTCCGGCGACAGCAACGCCGTGACGCGGGAGCTCCGGAGCCAGCACGCCGCCCGCCCTCCCGGCACCGAGTGGTTGGGGCCACGCTGACCCCCGGCGGACGCTCCGGGCGAAGACTGTGGCCGAGCCCCCGACCCCCAGCCAACACGTAGGAACCTCCAGCTTGTAGCGTAGGGGCCCGCCCGTCCGGAGACGACACGGCTCAGGGCGGCCCGGAGACCACCGCAGGCCACTGACGCCCATCCGACCGCACACTTAGACTTCGTCACGCACCCGAATGCATGTAGCTGTGCCACACGCGTGTAGAGTAGAGCTGAAGGACTGCGACGCCATCAGGCCACGCGGGCAGGACCGCCGAGAACGCCGAGGCCGAGGTCACGGCGAGTCCACGGCTCCCTGGCCCGGCTGCCCGTGAACTCTGGGGTGCACACGGACCTGGATGGGGCGGGTGGGGGGGCGCTCGGAGCGAGAGAAGGTGGGTGGGGTGGGGGTGGGGGTGACGGTGGGGGCTTCCTTGTCATTGTACCACAGGATGTAACTGAGCTTTTCACTTTTGGAGAAACCGGAGCAGAGCCGTCCCTGGGGGCAGGAGGCAGGGGCAGTGCGTGGGCGTGGGCGTTGCAGCCTGGATCGGCGTGTCCCCGGCTGCTCAGGCGGCTCCCGGCACCACCTCCGGTGCAGGCGCTGGCAGGAAAGGCCGTCAGGCTGCAGCCCAGGCCGAGGGGGCTGGGTGGTGCCGCCCACCGGGGGGAGGTGTGAGGGTAAATATTTATGTATTTGTGCGCACGATGGTTAGGGCGCGACACCCTCCATGCCTGTATGCATCACCCGCGTGGGAAAATGAACCCAGTGTGGTTTAAAGGGGTTAGGATAAAGGTGTGACTCTGTAATATTTCCCAAGGTCCAAGGCTTATTAATAATTGTTTATTAATAGTTATAGTAATAGTATAGTGAGAAAGCATAATAGAAACCTAGAACATCAGTCACTGAATTTATCAAACGTCAAAAAAAATGAGCAACAGAGACTTATTTAAAAGTAAGTGCGGTGGAGGGCATGTGTGGGAGTGGGCGGGGCAATGGTAAGATATGTACACATGTAATACCTTAATAAAAAAAAATAATGTACACAGGCCCAGAGCAGGAGGAAGTCTGGGAACCAAGTACGTAGGTTCTGGTATGCTTCCACTCTCTAGCTGCCGCTGGATGAGTTATCTACTTACTGAAGGTAATTGTTTGATCCTAAACCTACGTATGTCAATTGTACTTGTATTCAGTTATGTAATTAAATTAAATAATATACAAAATAAAATTCGTTAAAAGAAGAAAAAAGAAGTAAGTGCGGTGGCTTTGACAGGTTTTAGACGTGAAGCGGGAGATGGCTTTCAGGGAGCCTGGGACAAGCCCGTGTCCCGCAGGGAAGGCCCGGGGCTGCGAACAGTTCCTCTCACGTCGTGCACGGAGGATGTGGCTGTTCAGGCACCCTGAGCGCCCGAGGGCCTGGGCTCACGCACTGTTTGCTAGAGTTCGCTGGGAAATATTGGCAGAAGCGTTTTATTGGGAGTGAAACTTATTTAAGAGCTATTTCAACATTTACCTACGTTTTATTCTCCAAGTTTGCCAACAAAGGCGTGAATGTGTGTCGAACGGTCTTTGAATGTAAACCGAATAAGCTGTTAGACTTTGTTTTTAAGGAACACGTTTATTGTTCAATAAAAAAAAAGTGAGACAGCTGTGCAGAGTCCATGTGTTATATTAAGTTGCCGGAAGTTATTTAAACGGTTTGTCCAGGGACCCGGACTCCACACACACACACACACACACACACACACACGCACATGCACACGCACACGCACACACGCAGGGCCAGCTCCTCTCCGGGACTTTCCACTCCAGGTAAGTAAGCCTCTGGGTCAAAACCAGCGTCTCCAGCTCTTCGCCTCCCACTTTCTGTCCCCTGTGCCTCGCAGCTCCCTCCCATGAGGCCCCGAGTATGAGCCCATCCCACAGAGGGAACCTGCGGGCGAAGGAGGCTGGGGTGCTGGGCAGGCAGGCCGCTCGGTGCCTGTAGAGGACGGGCGGGCACTGCGAGCCGAGGGCGTCGAAGCAAGGAGCACAGAGGTCCCCTCGGCAAGGGGGCAGGGGGGCAGTGTCGAGCACGCTCCCGTGAACTGATATGGCATGGAGGCACTTTTCTGTAGCAGGGAAACATCCGGTTCGCCTGAATTCATCTTTTTCCTTTTCTTTTTTTTAAAAATCCTCACCTGAGGACATGTTTCTCATTGAGTTTAAGAGAGAGTGGAAGGAAGAGGGGAAGACAGAGGAAACATCGATGTCAGAGAGACTTATCGACTGGTGGCCTCCTCCCCCCCGCCTCCGTGCCTGACCAGAGCCAGGTCAGGGAGGAGCCTGCAACCGAGGTTCATGCCCTTGACCGGAATCGAACCCGGGACGGGTCTCTTCGGTCCACAGGCCGACGCTCTGTCCACTGAGTCAAACAGGGCGGGGCTCTCTCTCCTTTTTTCTTTCTTTTCTTTTATTAAAAAAATTATTTTTATTCATTTCAGAGAGGAAGGGAGAAGGAGAGAGAAAGAGAGAAACATCAATGATGAGATAGAATCGTTGATTGGCTGCCTCCTGCACGCCCCTCACTGGGGATCGAACCCACAATCCAGGCATGTGCCCCGGCTGGGAATCGAATCATGACTCTTGGTTTAACGGTCGATGCTCAACCGCTGAGCCACGCCGGCCGGGCTCGGGCGCCCTCTCCTTTTTCCAAGGCGGAGGGGCGGAGGATGTGCGTAGCGAGTTACGCTCGGCAGGCGCAGGGTTGTTACTGATGGAGCGGACGCACCGGGCGTCTGCCCGCGCCGGACAGGGACTGCAGGATGTGCTTCTGGGCGTGAGGTCGCTGAGAGGTGCTGCCGTGGGAGGCCCGGCCTCAGCTCCAGGCCCGGGGGGCGGGGACAGTGGGGCAGGAGCTGGACTGGAGGGCTTTGCTTCTGCCCCCGCACGGCACCCACCACCTTGGGCAATCAAGTCAGACCGAGGCGGCTCAGCTGCTCTCAGGGGCAGGCGAATTGTCCAGCCGCCCAGCTTCAGGCCCGGGGCCCTGCGCCCTTCCCTCCAGGTGCCGGAGTTTTCCGTCCCGATCGGCACTCTGCTGGCACCAACGCATGATCCCAGGGAGCCAGGCCGGCGGGTCCTCGGGAGGGAGGGCGGGCGGTCCCTGCGCCCTCCAGGCCGTGCGCCTGCTGCACCTCACCGGTGGCGGCCTGAGCCGGTGGCCAGGCCACCAAGGGGCTGGATTTTTTAAAAAATACATTTTTATTGATTTCAGAGAGGAAGCGAAATGGGGGGAGGGAGACAGAAACATCAATGATGGGAGAGAATCAGGGATCAGCTGCCTCCTGCACGCCCCACGGGATCAAGCCCGCAACCCGGGCCTGTGCCCTGACCGGGAATGGGACCGTGACCTCCTGGTTCGCGCTCAGCGGGCTGGCCACTGGGGTTTTCAGGGCCTTTCCTGACACCTGTGGGGTTGGCAGATATTTCCTGTTTTTGTTGTGTCTCCGGAAGACAGGCACGCACAGCTCGGAAGTGATCATTCACCTGCGTCAGAGCGGCCTTCACGCCGGCACCTCCCAGCACGAGGTTCATTCTCGCAAACTCCATCATCACCGTTTCTCTGGAGGGAAAGGGTCGTCGGCTTAAAGATCCGGCTGATGAGGGGGAGGACCCTGCGGCCGGGGCGCGGTGCAGTCAGGACGTCACCCTAGCCCAGTGGCTCTGACCCTGAAGAGCAGTGGTGCGGAGACAGGGGCCCCGCATGCCTGTGGGCGGCTCTGTGCTCACCGCAGAGCTCCCCGGTGGGAAGACACTTTGCCGGCCTCCCGTCCCGGCAGGACCCTGGAGCCGGTGTTGGTGGAGCCGGGTGCACTCTCACGACGCCCACTGGTGGTGACTCGGCGTGTTGCTCATGAGCCCTCTGGGCCACGTGGGAAGTGGCCCGTGCAGAGCTGTGAGGCCGTGTCTCATGTTCCGCGTTGGACATTTGTGTTGTCACGGGGTCTGAGGGGCAGATCTGAAGCCTTCCGGCGATGGCAGACACAGGTGTGACCACAGGAGCCACTCCATGTTCTGGTATCTCACGTGCCTGTCACGTGCTGCCACACTGAGCCATGGGAGCATGAACGTGTTCTTTAACAATGAATGGACAGAGCACGGGGAGCGCCCAGGGCTCCGGACGAGGCGGGGGCTGCCGGAGAGGGCAGGCGTGGTGAGTGATGGACCCCCGGGGTCCCCGAGGGGTGGCTGTTCTCAGGGACACACTTAGACCTGCGGTGGCCCTGAGCACGGCCGGGAGGGCCGGGGCGCAGACGGGCACTCCGCTATTTTTAGCGCCTTTTATTCTGGGCCTCGGCACTTCCTCTGAGCTTCCCCGGCGGCATACCTTTCTTCCTCATAGAGGCCGCCGTTCCCACCTCCCCAGGAAGCCCGGGAATGCGGTCCGGAAGCGGCGGCCTTGGCACCGGGGCCGGCTGGAAAACAACCGAGACGCTCAGGGTCAGACACTTTCTAGTACTGAGTGCTCTGCACCTCGCGGGTCTGGGCTGGCCCGCCCGTACCAACACCGTCCCCGCGGGCGTCTCCCGCCCTGTGGCTGTGCCAACACCGTCCCCGCGGGCGTCTCCCGCCCTGTGGCTGTGCCAACACCGTCCCCGCGGGCGTCTCCCGCCCTGTGGCTGTGCCAACACCGTCCCCGCGGGCGTGTCCCGCCCTGTGGCTGTGCCAACACCGTCCCCGCGGGCGTCTCCCGCCCTGTGGCCGCAGAGGGCACGGCGATGGATGTAGGCAGGAGCAAAGCCCGAGCGAACAGCAGGCAGAAGGGCCAGCAGGTCCCTTTGGGGCGAGTTCACTGCTGTCTGAGGCAGTCAGCAGGTCCCCGGAGGCAGAGTGAGGGGTGCGAGGGTGCGTGTGTTTACCGGCCGGCGTGGACTCAGGGGCTGAGCGTCGATCTATAAACCAGGAGGCTAGGGTTCGATTCCCGGGCAGGGCACAGGCCTGGGTTATGGGCTCGATCTCCGAGCAGGAGGCAGCCGATCCGTGATTCTCTCTCATCATGGATGTCTCTATCTCTCCCTCTCCCTTCCTCTCCGAGATCAATAAAAATATATTTAAAAAGAAAAAATACACCAAGAGCCCAGACAGCCGGTGAGATGGACACCAACCTGAACCCATGGGTGCCCATGACCGCAGACATGAAGGCGGACAGCGGGAAGGCGGTCAGAGGCGCAGGCTCGGCCGTGAACGAGCAGCTCCTGCTGGGTTGGTGCAGCGTGGTGGCCAGTGAACTAAACGCGTCACATTTAAGTCTGGGTCTGGCCTCCAACGCTCTGCCTGTCATAAAGGACCTTTTTCACTGTTCCATGGCTAATGTGACCAGACGTACTGTGGTGGCTGCTTTGCGCACGCACACACACACACACACACACACATCACACACACACACACACACATACACATCACACACACACACATACACATCACACACACACATACACATCACACACACACACACATACACATCACACACACACACATACACATCACACACACACACATCACACACACACATCACACACACACACATCACACACACACACACATACACATCACACACACACACACACTCACACACACACACACACTCACACACTCACACACACACACACACTCACACACACACTCACACACTCACACACACACACACACTCACACACACACACACATCACACACACACACATACACATCACACACACACACACACATACACATCACACACACACACATCACACACACACACATACACATCACACACACACACATCACACACACACATCACACACACACACATCACACACACACACACATACACATCACACACACACACACACTCACACACACACACACACTCACACACTCACACACACACACACACTCACACACACACTCACACACTCACACACACACACACACTCACACACACACACACACACACATACACATCACACACACACACACACACACACACACACGTGTTGAATCATTATAGTGCACACCTGACACGAATGCAGTATGCCAATTCCGCCTCCAGAAGAAATGATGACCTAGGCCAGTGGTCGACAAACTCATTCGTCCACAGAGCCAGATATCCACAGCACAATGATTGACATTTCTTTGGAGAGCCACATTTTTAAAACTTAAACTTCTTCTAACACCACTTCTTCAACATAGGCTCGCCCAGGCCGTGGTGTTTTGTGGAAGAGCCACACTCAGGGGGCCAAAGAGCCGCCTGTGGCTGGAGAGCCGCCATTTGCCGACCACGGAGCTATGTTTATCTCTTTATTCCTATTCAAGCAAGATTAACAGTCCGTCTTCAGAGGAACACCCGAGAGGGCACCTGTCAGTGTATTTGAGTGTTTCCAGCCACAGAGCTCGGCCTTGCTCAGCGCTGAGGCAGGAGAGGCGGAGGGCGGCGTGGAGGGGCGGCTTCCCTGCAGCCGGGTGTGAGTGCTCCGGGCGGGTCTTCTCAGACCCCCGTCCACTTTGCACAAGGACTGTGGCTTTGGGGCTCCCTCTGGGCGCGCGTTCTGTCTGTGCCTTTGGAGTGGCCCTCCCTGGGTGTGAAGAAGTGACTCCCGCTCCTGGGCTGTGGGAAAAGCCCCCCTCCCCCCACAATGACTCGAAAACACGGGCTTGTTATTCTGAAAAAGCAGGGCACATCCTCATTCCACACAAACAATGTGACAGGCCTGGGCCCCGGCCAAGGTTTTCTAAGAATAGAACTCGCTCTCGGAAACCCTGGATTCGCAGGGCAATCCCGCTGCTGCCCCCACAAAGGCGAGCATTGCTGCTCCGGGAAGCCCAGGGACCCCTGCCCTGCACGTGCCCGAGCCTGGGTGACCCGGCAGTATAACTGGCTGTCCCGCACCCGGGGGGGGCGCTGGCCCCAGCCCTCCCAGGGCCCTTTGCTGCGGGGCTGACCTTGCAGAAATAAGACAGACAGCATGCGTGGCCGTGATGCCCGGGCAGGGGCTGTGGGCACTGGTGGCCACGATGCCCGGGCAGGGGCTGTGGGCACTGGTGGCTGCGATGCCCGGGCAGGGGCTGTGGGCACTGGTGGCCATGATGCCCGGCTGGGGCTGTGGGCACTGGTGGCCGTGATGCCCGGCTGGGGCTGTGGGCACTGGTGGCCGTGATGCCCGGCTGGGGCTGTGGGCACTGGTGGCCGTGATGCCCAGGCAGGGGCTGTGGGCACTGGTGGCCGTGATGCCTGGCTGGGGCTGTGGGCACTGGTGGCCGCGATGCCCGGGCAGGGGCTGTGGGCACTGGTGGCCGCGATGCCCGGCAGGGGCTGTGGGCACTGGTGGCCGTGATGCCCGGCAGGGGCTGCAGCTGGATGGGCTGTGCCTCCATCTGGCTGGCACAAGGCTGGGCAGACTCCAGGCTCTCGCTAACGTTGCTTGCGGACAAGGGACAATGCGGAGAGCGGCTACCGTGTTGGGACAGGTTCAAGCCTGGGGCTAATGAGAGGGCAGCTCCTCTCGTGGCAAAGCCACGTGCAGGTCCCAGCACAGTTACAGCCAAAGGCTGTGGTTGTGAGCTTGACCTATGGCCTGAACCTGTGGCCCCACGTGGCTGAGTGATATGAGCTGCAGGAGGTTCGGCCAGTAAACAAAGCTGGGTCAGGTGCACGTAACTGAATGGATTCAAAACCCGAGAGAACGTTGTAACACGCCCTTCCTTTGCCTCCTGGGATCTGGCTATGAAGACGCGGCTTGCAGGCCGTGGCGCTGTCTCTCCATCAGAGAGGGCAGATTCCCACCCAGCCCCAGCTTTCTTCTCGTCTGTCTTTTCTCCATCCTTCACCGTCCCCTCAGGCTCACCCATGGCCGTGCCTGCGAGGCTCAGGACTGAAGCCAATCAAAGGGGCTTAGGTTAAAAGAGAAGCCGCTGTGGCTGAGCCGAGGGTATAACGATCTCCCCCAGGGGGCCTGGCCCTGGGGCGGTGGGAGGCATCTGGGCAGAGAGCTCTCCTCTTCCCGCTGTAGCCGGTGATCCTGTGACTTTCCTTCTCATCTTAAAAAAAAAAAAATTATATATATATATATATATATATATATATATATATATATATATATATATATATATATTTATTTATTGATTTCAGAAAGGAAGGGAAAGGGAGAATCATGGATCAGCTGCCTTCTGTGCGTCCCACATGGGGATGGAGCCTGCAACCCGGGCCTGTGCCCCAACCGGGAATCGAACCCTGACCTCCTGGCCGATGCTCAACCACTGAGCCACGCCGGCCGGGCTCGTTCGAATCTTCATGCGGGGCCACTCTCCCTCCGCAGCTGGCTTCTCTGCTTAATGATGATCCTGTTATTAGTGATGAGAGCACCGTGTTGGACATGAGACTCTGGGTCCACCTCGCTGGGCAGGTGTGGAAACTGCCCTGCCGCCCACCTGCCCGTCCGGAGGTGGGGCTTACACCCCCAGAGGGCGGCTGGGCCTGGGCCTGAGGCGGGGCCTGGCTGTTGCTGCGGTGGCGGAGGGTGGAGCCAGCCACCTGCAGCTCCCCGCCCTCCTGCCACCTGCAACTCCCCGCCCTCCTGCCACCTGCAGCTCCCCGCCCTCCTGCCACCTGCAACTCCCCGCCCTCCTGCCACCTGCAGCTCACCCGCCCTCCTGCCACCTGCAGCTCCCCGCCCTCCTGCCACCTGCAGCTCCCCGCCCTCCTGCCACCTGCAGCTCCCCGCCCTCCTGCCACCTGCAGCTCACCCGCCCTCCTGCCACCTGCAGCTCCCCACCCTCCTGCAGCTCCCCGCCCTCCTGCCACCTGCAGCTCCCCACCCTCCCCGCACTGGGAGGTCACCGCCTCCAGGGCCCTGACCCCAGGCTGTGCCCAGGAGGAAGCGGGGAGCATGGCAGGTCTGCACATTGTCTTCTGCTCTCCTCACGGTCAGGGACAGAGTCTGACCTCAGGCGCTGCCCATCTGCAGAGACGTCCTGGGTGAGTGGGGGAGGGGGGGCGAGGATCCTCCTGATGCCAGAGCCCCGACAGGAGCAGGGTGCTGGAGGCCGCCCAGAGCCCCGGGGAGGGGTCAGGCAGGCGGCCGGCCGGGGAGCCCCTGCATGCTGCCCAGAGGCCCTGCAGGAAGGAGGCTGAAGCTCTCAGCGGGCAAAGGCCCTGGCCTGTCAGGCTGCCTCCGCCAGAGACCGCTCCCAGGGGTCGCCTGTGCCCACAGACTCACCATGTGGGTCCCCACAGGCCCGGCCCCACCCCATTCTGGGACAATGCTGCCCAGCCCCCAAACTCAGCTTCTCTTTCTTGTCTGATCCAGCCCCCTCCCTCCCCCTGGCTCTTTCTCTCTCCCCTGCCCTCTTCCCCCTCCCCTCCCTTCCACAGGGGCTGCCCCAGGAGCCTCCCCAGCGAACCCCCTGAGCTCATCTCCATCTCCAGTCGGCTTCCCGGGGAATCTAGTCCTGACGAGCACCCGGCTGGGGGCACATGGGGCTCCCTAAAGGTTTGTCCCCAAACTGTAGCCAGAGGGGCTGCCACGGCCGCGGGTTTCGGCTTTACAGCCCCGAGTTGGTGTCCTTTTGGGGTCTCCTCTGCCTGGAGGGGGAGCCGGTGGGCGACTCCCCAGCTGGGAGGGACTCCTGGTCCCCCAGCTGCCCGTCACCCAGGCTCCATGGGGCCAGTGTGTGGGCCTGTGACTGAATCTGGATAAACTAAAAAAAGACAAAGCTATTTCTGGGGGAAAAACCCAGGAGGAAGTGAAATGGAGTGTCTTGAATTTGAGGGAAAAAATAACCTCAAAGGAAATTCCAGAGGCGGCTCATTAGAGCCGGGCCGGGAGCTCGTTCATCGGCAGGAAAAAAGCGAAGCGGAAGCCGCTGGGATCGAGGGCGGCTCCACGGGCGGGAGGATGCCGAGGGCCCGCGGACAGACGCAGCCCTCCCGCTGGTGTGCGCCGCCTGGCACTGAGCGCCCGGGTCCCACCGGCACCTCCCAGCCAGGGCCGGGCCTCCTCTCATAGTTCACAGAGCCTGGTGACACTGGTTACCATCACGGCCGGTCCCCACTCTTCCCCTTCTGCCCCCTCAGTCTCCCAGAGTGCCTTACCCACCCCATTCACCAGGCTGCAGGTAAACAGCGTGGTCAGGTGCATGTAGCTGAGTGGGGCTGAAACATCTTGATCACGCCCTCCCTTTGCCTCGTGGCATCGGCTGTAAAATAAAGACACGGCCTGTGGGCGCGGTCGCTGTCGCAGGGAGGGAAGCAGCGTCCCACCGAGACCCGGCTCTCATTCTCTGGTCTGTCTGCTCTGAGCCTTTCACGCCCCCGCTCAGGGTCACCCTTGGCAGTGCCGGCGCGGCACATAAGATGCCCTGGGGCTGTGCCGGCGGGGCACAACTAAGATGATCCGAGTTGCAGGGAATGGGCTGCCAACAAGAATGTTTATGTTCAGGTAAACTCCCATTCAAGGAGGAGGGCACAATAATGGCCGTTTCTGACAGACCAGCCACAGGTCTGCAGTGATATTGTATTTACTTCAATTGAAAGGAAATGAACGCCCCATACAATACATGGGATTAAAGACAATGATGAGCACAGAAATAGATTTTTCTTAAGTTGGTAAATTTGATTAAAAATAGACATGAAGGGGCAATCAATGGTAAGATATGTGCACATATAATACCTTAAAAATGGAAAAAAATAGACATGAAAATGATCAGTGAGTGTACATGTGTTTTTAAAAAGTTAATGTTGTCACTATCACAATAGGAGGTAACATTGAAAGAGTAGTTAAAACATGTGCAGATCTTTGGTTCAGAAGGGGGCAGAAAACGCCAGACTTGGTAAGAAAATTCAATTAGTTTTAAAAACATAATTCCTGAGAGTAACCATAAAAAATAAAAAATATAGCCAATAACTCCAAAACCCACTGAGAAAAAGAGAATGAATAAAGGAAATGTAGCATTCTTTTAAAAGTTGTTTCTGACTTCTGTTGAATTTATGAGAACAAAAATTTTTTTTAAATAGTGGAAGAAATAAATTCAAATATATTAGTAAGATTAATAAATATAAATGGGTTCCCTCCCCCTCATGATTAAAAAACCGGAGGCTATGACATTGGATGACAAAAAGCCAGAACCTATCTGCTTTTATGCTCTAAATCAAAAGGATGTAAAAAGAATGAAAGGAATGAAAAAATACCTAAAGCAAACATGTTAAGGAATACTGGCCTGTTACCTACTTTAGGGCCGTTTAAAACTTTAAAGTGAGAACATAAGTGCCTCTGTAGCTCTAACCAGTTTGGCTCAGTGGATAGAGTGTCGGTCCGCAGACTGAAGGGTCCCGGGTTCTATTCCGGTCAAGGGCATGTATCTTGGTTGCGGGCACATCCCCAGTATGGGGTGTGCAAGAGGCAGCTGGTCCATGTTTCTCTCTCATCGATGTTTCTAACTCTCTATCCCTCTCCCTTCCTGTCTGTAAAAATCAGTAAAATACATTTAAAAAAATTAAAAAAGACAATAACTTGCCCTTAAGTAAGAGAATTAAGAAAAAAGAAAGTGCCTCTGCAATCCAGTTTCACCAGCAGGTTTCATGCATCACGGAGACTTGTCTGCACATGCGTGGAGCCCAGCACACACACACACACACACACACACACACACACAAATACACATATGGTGCAGCCTGGGGTGTGAAGGTGGGGTGGGGAGAAGGGGGCGTCTGGGATTCTGTTAATAAGAAATACACTTAAGCCAAAACCAGTTTGGCTCAGTGGATAGAGCCTTGGCCTGCGGACTGGAAGGTCCCAGGTTCGATTCCGGTCAAGGGCATGTACCTTGGTTGTGGGCACATCCCCAGTGGGGGGCGTGCAGGAGGCAGCTGGTCTAATTTTCTCTCTCATTCATGTTTCTAACTCTCTATCCCTCTACCTTCCACTCTATAATAAAGCAATAAAAAGTATATAAAAAGAAATACACTTAAAAAAGAAGGAAGTATAACAAATTCCATATATAATCTTATGTGTATGTATATGTGTGTGTGTGTGCGCACACATTCATATCTTTTTGTACATAAACATTTGCATGTACACGTGACACCCTCGGGGCGTGCAGCTGCTAAATGTCCCCACAGGCTTCCTGCGGGAGCGGCACAAAGACCCCGGATTCGAGGCTGGAATCCAAGACACGGGGCCGGGCGGAGACCCAGCTCCCCCTCCTGAGCCCGCGGCGCGGCACACAGTTACATACGCACATAGGCACCTGCGCACATATACCGTGTATCTCTGTATTTCTATTCCTGTGTATTAAAGTACTATTTTAAATAACGCGGCAACTCGTATAATGCTTTTCCCAGCGCTTTGAGGGCGCGGAACGTGACCTTTGACCTTCATGATTGCATAAGAACTGTGGAGGACCCACCCACTTCCGCTTGGACTTCCGACTTCCGCTCCGGAGCGGAGGAGGACCGTTCCTGGCGCATGTGCAGCGGTTGCCCGCCTCCGGAGGTGAGGGCGGCAGGATCCGGGCGCATGCGCAGCAGTTGCCCGCCTCCGGAGGTGAGGGCGGCAGGTTCCGGGCGCATGCGCAGCAGTTGCCCGCCTCCGGAGGTGAGGGCGGCAGGTTCCGGGCGCATGCGCAGCAGCTCCGGCGTCCGGTGGTGAGGGCGGCAGGTGCGGCGAGGGCGGCGGCTCCGCAGGACTGGCCCGACGCTGAGGTGAGGACCCCGGGAGCGAACCGCGAGCCCCGGCCCAGTAACTGTACCGAGGGCGCCGCCGCCCGGCCTATCCGCCCGGCCCGGCCCGGCCCTGCCCGCGGCCCACGCCCGCCGCTGCCCCGAGGCCGCCTGCCCGCCCGCCCGCCCGCCATGCCTCGCGGTCGGAAGAGTAAGCTTCGCGCGCGGGAGAGGCGCCAACGCGCCCGCAACGAGGCCCGCGCCCGGGGCGTCCAGGCCGCCATGGGCGCCGAGGGGCCGCCCGCGGGCTGCCTGTCCGTGCCCGGGGCCGCGCCGCCCCAGGCCCCCCCGGCCGGCGCCGCGGGGCCCGCGCGGGCCAGAGGCCAGGCCCCGAAGAGCAGGGCGTACCCGTGGGCCGGCGCGGCGGCCGAGGGCGCGGGGCCCGACCTGCTGGCGCAGAAGGCCACGGTGCTGGTGGAGTACCTGCTGTACCAGTACAAGATGAAGGAGCCCATCCGCCGCGGCGACATGCTCAAGATCGTGCACAAGCGCTACCGCAAGGACTTCCCCGACATCCTGGCGCGCGCGCAGGAGCGCATGCAGCTCTTCTTCGGCCTGGAGCTCCAGGAGGCCAAGCCGCACGGCAGCGCCTACCTGCTGGTGGACCGGCAGGACGACGCGGGCGACGGCGGCTGGCGCTTCCCCAAGAAGGGCATCCTCATGCCGCTGCTGAGCGTCATCTTCCTCAACGGCAACTGCGCCTCGGAGGAGGAGATCTGGGCCTTCCTCAGCACCATGGGCATCTACGACGGCAAGAGCGACTTCATCTTCGGCGAGCCGCGCAAGCTCATCACGCAGGACCTGGTGCAGGAGCAGTACCTGGTGTACCGGCAGGTGCCGCGCAGCGAGCCGCCGCGCTTCGAGTTCCTGTGGGGCCCGCGCGCGCGCGCCGAGACCAGCAAGATGAAGGTGCTGGAGTTCCTGGCCAAGCTCAACGACACGGTGCCCGCCGCCTTCGTGCCCCACTACGAGGAGGCGCTGAAGGAGGAGCGCGAGCGCGGCCGCGGCCCGGCCCTCTCCCCCGCCCGCGCCCGCGCCCGGCGCGCCATGGCGCTCTCGGCGGCCGCGCTCTCCATGGCCCGGGGCATGTCTTGCAAGGCCGGCGCCGGGCGCCAGGGGGCCCCACCCGAGTGAGGAGGACGGTGTGCATGGCGGGGGCCGCGCTTTTCCCGCGGGAAGGCCTGTTACTACACTGTTCGCGTCTGTTAGCGTTAAAGAAGGAAGAATAGCGTCACCCAAGTTAGGACTTTAGCTCCCTCCCCTTAGCGTGACAGACTGACTAGAGATGGAGATTTCAGCACTTGCGTTGTTTATCTTTCCGAGTTAAGCTATTTTGATTTGCTTTCTCATTATCTTTGTTCAAGATAGCCTGTAGACAAAAATAAAGCATAACTGCCTGTTTAATCCGGGGGTCCAGCTCTCTTTTCCGTTTCCTACTCATTGGGTCTGAGTATGCCGGGCCTGACTTAACGGTAAGATGACTGATATTCGTGCGAATTCTAGAAAATTTTGAACAGCCTAGCCAGACACAAAGTTAGGTGTTTTTTGTTTGTTTGTGTGTGTGTGTGTGTGTGTGTGTGTGTTTTAAAAAAGAAAGCAAAGGTTGAGTATTTTAGGCTAGATTCAAGGCGTTTTTATAGTTTTCAGTTTTGTGTATACATTTCAAGTTTCCTTAAAGGAATGTATCAGGAAAATTGAAAATATATCTTACAGCCGAAGAACCAAACATAAGCAGTCAGATTTGAGTTGGGAAAAACAACGACCAACTTTATTAATGTAACCTATTCCGGAAGGCAGGCAGATGTGTTGACTTAGGCCATTGAGACGTGAACATGTTTTAATGTCTGCTTCCCATCAAGAAGCTGGATATAAATGGTACTTGTATGATTAAGTCAGGCACCCTTATTTAAACCATTAGCTTTCCAAATATGAAAGCTAAACAAGTGCAATGTATAATGATTTCTTTTCCCTGCAGACATTCACCACTTTCTGGACTTCAGGGGCTTATGGCTTGGAATGGTGACCATTTAACAGGAAGTTGTGGTATCCCTGTTCAGAAAGCCTCCCTCCGCCTCATGCCTTATAGCACTGTTTTTCAACCTTTTTTGGGCAAAGGCACACTTGTTTCATGAAAAAAATCACGAGGCACACCACCATTAGAAAATGTTAAAAAATTTAACTCTGTGCCTATATTGACTATATATAAAGTAATTCTCTTGAATAGGAATCAAATAAACACAAAGAAAGTATTTTAAAATTATTATGAAATATTAAGTAAACAAAATAGTGAAAAATTATAAAATTCTTGTCTTGTCTGCACCTACGGCACACCAGGCAACATCTCGCGGCACACTAGTGTGCCGCGGAACAGCGGTTGAAAAACGCTGCCTTAAAGATCCCCCACCCCCTTCCTGCCCATGTACCATGGGACCCAGCGGTGCCACAAATAAACCGTGGATGTGCCGAGCTATTGGTCCCCGTGGCCTTGGGGAGCTCCAGGATATGGTCTCCAGGCATCAACCCCACCCATCCACTGCAGTCTGCTCACAAACATGGCATTTTCCGTGTGTGCTGTGACATGAGAGGCCCTGCCCTGACTACGGCCTAAACTCGGCATGGCATTCAAGTCCTTACAGTCTCGTCCATGCTCTTCCAGTCTGACCTCTCCCATCCCTTCACGCACAGCCCTGCTACCCACCTTCCCTAAAACCCTCCCCGTTGCCTCCAAGCCTTGCCCACTAGAATGCCCTTCTCCCTCATCTGCACAGTGGCTCTCGGATCCTTTAAAAGCTAGAGCCAATGCCTCCGCCTTCATGAAAGCTCAGAAATCTCTGCCACCTGCGTCATTTCTCCTCGCTACCTGAGAGGGCTGCTCCTTACCCTCTCACACTGAGCATGTTTTCCTTGTGTTGTAATTGAGTGCTTGTTTTAGCTCCTCTCTTCGAGTGCAAACAGCTGAAGAACAGAGACCATTGGTTTAATTGCTTCCCACCCAGTGCTCGCTTATTAAATGGAATTGACTGCAAATAGGTGGGAGAGGAGATCAGCTTGTGTTGATTGCATCTCAGTCGTGTGCCAAGCACTGTGCTGGCATGCTAGATGGGGACCATGTGTGTGGTCTTCCCAATAGCCCCTGTCAGGTGGGCGATTTGAGATGAAGACAGTGAGGGACAGCAAGGTTAATGGCTGCCAGTGGTGCATTTTCCACTGGGAAACGGGAATTGGGGGACCTGTAGAGCAAGGCCTCTCAGGGGTCCAACAGGAAGTTGGCCCAAGAGGGTTTCCGGGCTTTGCCCGCACCCTGACCATGGGAACCCCCAGACGGTGGGGAGAAACAGCAGGGCCTTGCTGGACGCCGGGCCAGAGGTCTGCCCCATGCTCTGCCTCAGCTGGTGGAGTCCTGGCAAGAATTCCATTTCATGAACTTAAAAATCATTCATTCGTCAACAAGGAAATCCTTCCTAGTATCAAATCTGAGATGACTAGGGACAAAAACCATAGAACAAAAGTTATTTTTCTCTTCGCTTAGAAAAATAGGACCCACAGCAGTGTGTGAGGTATATATGTTGGTTCTCTCTCATTGCGCTGTGATTTTGTTTATTTTGTCATGCTCACATTTATATGACTTGTAAGGGTTTTGAAAACAACACCCAGATTAGATGAGCTAAATGACTGGGTTCTGTAGATTAGATTACAGTGTACCATGTTCAGTGGCCATGACTGGCCAGGATTCTCCCATCTCTAAAACAAGGTGAGAATGCCATCGTAGGGCCCTGAGCTAACAGGTTTTCCGTGAGCTTCCTGTGCGTGGAAAGAGGCGACGATTCGGTGTCTCCTTCCCGCGGCTCCGGGTGCTGTGTCTTCGGAGCCACACTCGGGGCGTCATGTAGAACAGCTGGTGTGGCAGCCGCCCCCAGTTGTTTTGTGTTATGTTTCACCTCTCACACAGTGCCGCCATCTGTCCCATGGCGGCTCCCCAGTGGCCTTAGGAGCAGGCGTTCTCAGGAGCATCCCTCGCTTTGTTAGGAATGAGAAGCTACTGCTCAGAAGGAAGTGGCTTGTCCGAGGTCATGGGCTCAGGATAAGTGTGACAGATCCAGGGCTCAAAATCTGAGCTGGACACTTGTCCCCAGTTTTCCCCATATTTAAAGCAACGGCAGGCTGGAGGAGTCTGGTGTGGGAGAGAAGTAATAAATTGAGACTAAAAATAATAAAAATAAATAAATTCTGAGACTAGCGAAGGGTGTAGCGAGGTCATAAAGGGGATTTTCAAACAACCGACCTTTCTGTGTCTATCTGCCTTGGTGCCCACCTAACCCTGCACTCCAGCCCCCCTTGTAAAGCAGGAGGCACACTGTCAGCTGGCCACAGCGAGCACTGCTGCCCCGACAGGATTGCCTCAGAGTCTTCTTATACTCACACTCATTTCCCAGGTTTACCAGGCCATGCCCTCCATCACCTCGCTTCTGAACTGAACAGGACCGGAGGGCCAGGGAAATGTAGACGAGGTGGGGTGTCGGGGTTAAGAAGGTCACTTTCATTGTAGGGAAAACAAAGTGGGAAGTTTTCAAACCGAAGGAAAATTTGGCTGCAGTTTGTATTAGTAAATGTTCATCTCGAAAGGCATTAACTTTCTCCTGGATTTGAATGCAAGTTGAATCTCGTTTTAGACGGTTGCCCAAGAGAAGTGTAATGATGGAATGATCAGTAATCTGTCTAGCTACATGTGGCTGTTGAGAACTTGGGATGTGGCCGGAGACAGAGAAACGGAATTTTTACGGTTATTAAATTCCAACTGATTTAAATTTAAACAGCCGCATGTGGCAATAACCATTGTACAGGTCCCATCGGCTGATGGCAGTCTTCAGCCCGTGCCTAGTGTGCGTATTGAGATAGAAAAGAGGATCTATGTTCTTGAATGCTTTGAGGATAAGGATTCTCCTATTTCAGTTAAAATGGACACTGAAATTATATGTGTAATCAAGTAACTATACCAGGGGAAAACTTGGGTATGTGTCATATCTTTCCAAGTTTTGTAAAGTCTCAAGTCAGTAATTAATACAGTTTTCTACTTTAATTGGCATGAACACTTCTGCTCGTGAGAGTTCTCATCTGTATTGATTAGACTTTGTTATTCGGCAGATGAAAATCAAACTGGATTCCTGAGTTTCAGAGCTCAGAGATCAATCGTTTCTCATCGATAAGACTCGTTTTCTATTTTAGTACAGGCTCTTGCGAGACTGGAATTTCCTCTACACATTGTAGCACACATCCCCCGGGGTAGCTCTCTGAAGCACATGGGAAAAACGAGAAACAGATGAGTGATAACCAATTGTCTGCCTCCACAATCCCTGGCGGAGCGGAGCACGGCCTGAGGAAAACACGTCTGAGGTCCCCAGATGACAGCCGGGCCTGTGATCATTGTCACGTGCCTGTTTATCTTCCCCTGAGAAACTGAATGGGCAGAAAAAAAGATCGCAACCAAACAAAAGCCTATCAATAACAGGAAACTGTTGGTGAGAAATACCCTGATGTTCCTGTAAGCTCACGTCACTGGCGTCCCCGGGGACAGAGGTGCGTGAACTGCAGGGTAAATAGTTATGATTTAACACAGAGGCCTTGCACTGCTGTTTATAGTAAAACAACAAAAAAGAATTGTTCCTGGAGGCACAAATAAGCAAATAATAGAAACACATATCAATACAATCAGGAAGTGACGTGATGTCTCAGTCAGCCACGAAAACAACCTAATCCATCAGGGCATCTCCCTCTGGCCAGGCAGCGCTGGCAGGACCGGGCGGGAGGGGCTCTCCCCGCAGGGAGGCTGGAAATGGCGAAGGAAGTGGACGTTCACCCTGGAGGTCTCTGGAAAGGTCTCTGCAGCAGGACACCTGCCGGCAGGGCTTCATTCCCACGGGGACGAGCGAGTCCTGGCAGCGCCTCCCTCTGCTCCTAAAGATTCCAGCTGCAGAGGGCGCCAGCCTGAATGCGCATCCGTGGTGCCTTTGTGCTCACCCCATCGCCCCATCGCCCCACCGCTGCCGCTGCTGCTGGCCGCCATGGCTGCAAGGCCTGAGCCCCGGGCCTAGCAGCCACCATCATGGCTGCCCGCCCTTGGCCCTCGCAGCCACTGG